ATTCACCTTTCATTCTTCAACAAGCCCGCAATGCGTGGACTCGCCACTGAACTCTACGACAAGATCACAAGCTTCGTCGAAAGTGAGTGAACGCGAAGTTTATCGAGAGACGACCGTTGCAAAAGATGTGTTGACTTTATTGTATGAGCATGGTATTGTGATTTACGAAGGTGATGAGTAATTCCTCGAAGAGTCAATAGTTTTCAAAATGAATAATATCACTGAAAAGGCACCGAAGAGGTTGTATCTCTGGAATTTGATTAATTGTCCGGAAGGTCGGTCGATGCGTTCGACCACTTTTAAATATCACAATAACATGAGCACAAATGTATTTTCTCTTGGAATACGACGCGGAAAATTACACCGCTACCTAAGTAGGGCCTCATTCGTTCGCACTCGAATCCAATCTGTCCCCTTTTGCCCAATGCCAAAAAATACTGCCGCTTGAAATATACCATCAGCATGGTGCGATCGAAATGGACCTGGATGACATTAGAGCGTTTTAGCAAGCGGGGAATTTGCATCAAATTCCCGGCTTGTCTTCGAGCACAAAGACACGCAAAATTCGATAGTTGCACACCGGTTATCCGAAAAAAGACGGATGAAACAAAGCGAAACATTCGCAGAGGCTGCCCTCGTGAGGTCCGCTGGCCCCCTGCTATTGACGCTACGCCTTCTGCAGGCTCTCAGGCGTCGAGGGGCAACCCAAGACCGGATACCAATTCCAAGCGTCGAGTTTAATCTCGAAAAATACAACGATGCGGAATGTTTGGCCAAGTTCCGCTTTACCCGTTCTGACATTCATATTCTTGCATGACGAGTGCGGCCTTAGCCCAAGTTGCAGCAACCTTTCCATGCCCTACTTCGTAAGGACCTAGCCGAAAAACTTCCTTGAGGAGAGCCTCATCCATTCGTCCGTCCACTGGATCTGTTTTCTGTCCTTCTTTCCCATGGAGATGGCGCCACAGATTTTCTCGACTTGGCACGTCGAAGTCGATTGGGAAAATCAAATCCCCTACTTTCTCCAGTCAATTCACCGACTTGGGCGAACTCGAGAAATTCCAAATTCGAATTTTTAAGTCGGGAATTTGAATTCCCGACTTGCTAAAACGCTCTAATTTGCAGATTGTGCACTTGGACGAAAAATGGATTTACGTTAACAATACCACACGTAAAGACTACATCCTCCCTGGGAGAAAGGACATTAACGAGCATGCAAGTCGAAAAGGTATATTACTAAATTTATGTTCTTCAGTGATAAAGCTCGTCCAGGCTATGTTGGAAGCACTGCCACATGGTGGGACGGTAAATTGGGATGTGGCTTTTCGATGAGTCCGTCCAAGCCCGGCGAGACAGTGTCATTCGAACTGCAGGCACCTATGAAATGAAGTCACTTCCAGTGACCAAGGATGTGAACCGAGCGCTCTTGATCGGCAAGGTATTGCCGTCTATTGCCGCCAAGTGGCCCAGCTTGACCGACACGCACGAGTCCATGTCACTCCATACGAGGGGAAACTTCTGGCAGCCTTCACCAACTCCAGAAAGTGGGTTGGACGTATTCGATTGGGTCGCAACCGCCAAACCCACCTGAACACATGAACATCTTGGATATGAGTGCAATTCACACTACAACGTTGAACGTCAGCGCGCAATGTAGATGCTGGTGGCAAACGCCGGAGTTGCGTTCTACGACTATCCCTTCGAGCAGGTGTATCGTATCATTTTGACGCTCCTGGGGGCATGAATGAGACGATGCAGTGCAGCGGCGACAATGCTACCAATGCGCCTCACCTTGTCAAGAACAAACAAGCACGTCAAGTATTCCTACTTGAGAAATTGTTCAAGCAGGAATGCGCCCTCGGGACACCTACGACAATGTCAAGAGCGAGTAAGTTGCCATGGAACGGGTCTTCGCGAAACAACTGCATTCGGCACGCTGCATGGACGAGCTCGCGCAATAACTTTAACGAATTGCCCTAAGTGATATCGAAACGATGGATGAGGTGATATATGATGCTGAGTACTGGGAAAGACAGAATGCAAAGCCCACCAAAGAGATTTGTGACTTACGCCCAATATTATCCAATTGTATTTCAGTATCGAAATACCACATTGTCATCGGTGGAATTATTATGTTCACACCCGCGCAATTTTCAAATGAGTACAAAAAATATAAGACTAGGCTCAAGGCTAATGGCCTCATTCAGACGATGTCTGATCGCGCAGTTGCTAACATCCTAGGTATACCTCGCCGTACCATATGAACATGGCATAATCAACGATATTAACTCTTGTTGTACGATGGCGACAAGAAACTTTGGAAGATCGAGCCCGAGCCAGACTGCCGATGCGAATAATTTTCGGATCTACCTAGTTTAGTCGAGCTGATTGAGAGTTTTCAAGATAACGAACGTGCCCTAACCACCACCGACGTGATCATGTTGATCAAGCTAAACCAACGAGAGTTGCTGGTTTCCTACGTGGCGACAAAGCAACGACAGCAGCCTAACTTTGCTGTCAGCCTTTGGTTATCGCCGTGACGGCATCCTGCGAAACCTGGGACTTCGTGTCATCTGAAGTGATACGTACTGTACATGTACACCTGTAGTTGCCTTGACCTGTGTAGACTTACAACCTCTTGAGATGTGAAGTTCGTTACATACTGTATATTGAAACTTCTTGTGACTGATGAATTAAATTTCCTGTTGAAGTCATTCAAATTCGTCGAAGGAACTGTAATAGGCTAAAATGCTCATCGAACTTCGCAGACACCTGGCCAACAAGATTCACGTGACTTCGATGACGAGGCAGGCGTTGCACTCTGTCGTTGCTGCATGCATTTTGTGACGCTGGTGGGTGGGCTCGTTAGGAGGGTACCGATGGGCGGTGCAGGTATTGTGTGACTTGGTAAGCTCGTTAGGAGGGTTCCTGAGGTAAAACTCCCTCTGGAATCGAATTGCACTGTCAGATAGGTCATATATACCCGTTTGATTGGTTCCGAGACACTCAAAATCTTTGATCTCACAAGTCATATCAAGATGTCTTGTCGGACGAAACGAAGTACAACTTGGACGGCCCGGATAGATACCGCGCGTACTGGCGTGACCACCGTAATATCGAAAAAGTATTCTCGAAGCGGGTCAGTGGAGGAGGCAATGTAATGGTCTGGGGTGCCGTGAGCCTGTGCGGGAAGTCACTTATCGCATTCCTTGAAGGACGACAAGCTCGGGGAAGTATTGCAAGACTGTATCTGCTCCCGTTATTGGACGAAGCACAAGAGCGTCTCGAAGACCAGATAGTTGTGTTGCACCAAGACATTGCAGGTATCCACGCTTCGAAGGAGACGAAGACGTTTCTTGAAGACTCGGGCGTCTTCCTCATGGACTGGCCTAGCAAGTGCCCCGATTTGCATGCTATCTGCAAGTTCTATTTGCGCTTTAGAAGGGATACCTCGTACAATATGGCTGACGTGGCTTAGTAAAAAAGACAGCTACATATCAACCCAACGCAAGAAGAAACACCCCACCCTTTGAGGCCAAAGTAGACGTCGTAATGAAATTTACTGACGACTTGGTACGTTTCATGCGATCTGTACGAGATGAGAGCCACCCTCACCACGACCCATTTGGTCACGTGGATAATGACCTTCCAACAAACCTGGGTCGACCACTACTTAGACGAGAAGGCGTCTGCAGGCACTGGCTACGCCGGACTCCTTTGCTTGTGTCAACGCTTCGCTTACCGTCACGGTTTTGCTCGGCGAGTTCCAAGTTACGGTTTTGCTCGGCGAGTTCCAAGAAGAAGGAAGCGCTTGCCTCAACATTTTGGTCCAAGCACAGCCACGTCCCATTGCGCGACAACATTAATGTCGACGAGACGGCAGTGTATTTCGACTTGCCCACGTTTTATTTGGTGTGAGATTGTGTCGCCGACGCTAAAAGTAGCTCCTCAGAAAAGCATTACGATCGTATGACGGCGGGGTTGGCTGTATGTGCTGATGATTTGTGAGAAATAGTGTGACTTAATATCATTAGTTGTGTAGGGACGAAACTGCCGATCGTCTTTATTGTGCGTGGGGTGATCGATGGTCAAATTGAAACCGACGAGTTGCCAACCAATCCTACGGGTCATGTCTACACCTTTCAAGAAATGGTATGGATGGACGAAAATGTGTGACTCTTCTACCTAATGGAGATTCGCGGCCAGTCGACACTGCTGGTGGAGAACTGGTCAGCCCATGTGTCCGTCCCAGCACGGCGGGCCGTGAACGACGTGTTGTACTCGTTTCTGGAGCCCCTGCCAGCAAACACGACGATTGTCAACCGCTTGATGTCTAGGTGATTGGCCTGAAGGCAAAGATGCGTGCCCTATGGGTACGTGAAGTGCCAATGATATCAGGTGCGGAACAGTGAATGAACATGATCGTACGTACCATCGCGGCGTGGGAAACGATAAGTGAATAAACGATCAGGATGCCGTTCATCGAAGCCTTGCACACCGGGGCATCCGAACGTACAGGTATCGACGGAAAAATTCACCCAGTGGTACTCGTTCATGTCACTCATTGGCTAAAATATTGGAATTTTGCTAGAGTTCAGAATGCCATGCCCATATTCATTCCAAAATGAATATGGACATGGCATTCTGAACACATATTCATTTTGGAATGAATATGGGCATGGCATTCTTCTGAACTTTAGCAAAATCCCAATATTTTAGCCAATGAGTGACATCTTTTAGCACGACGAAGGACATGATATGATACACGTTCTACTTAAAGTACTTGAGATATAGCTTTGGATTTCCTAATCACGACGGCGTTTGAGTGCAAATCTCTTTCAAGGGACCTTGTCTAATTTCCTGTACAAATTCATCCAGCCCATACAGATTGACTGCAAACAATCTTTTGTAAGTGATCCATTTTGGCCAAGCCGATAATGGAGTCGGGTGTCACCGCTGTGCCCCGGGTTCGATTCCCCGAATCCCCAGTCTATGCCAGTTGGTAAGGCGACTTTTTCCGCGCTTGATTTGCTCAAAGAGCATAAGACTTCCCTACACAAGAAGCAGAAGAAATTAACTCTCGTGGGACTATGGAATGATGGTTTGGCAGCAGCGAAAACGTTGTGTGGAGAGAATTATTAAAATTAGTATGCAGTATATATGAAAATGTATACATTTTGGAACCACAAAATATGTCCTGCATACAAAGATTGAATGAATTCACAGCACTAATTCATGATTGGCTCGTTCAAAATTGCCGCTAGTGCTAATGTCTTCGCGCACGAGCTTGGGGCAGTACACGAGGTACTCAATCACGGATCGCCGCAATTACTTGGGCAAGCTCGACCCAAGCGTCGTGTTGTCTCGATCATGTGTCTGGGCCAATGAATTGATCAATGCTAAGCGTGCATCACTGGGTGGCCAAGGAAGACCACAATGCATCCAATATGCTTCCTCGATGCATGACTTCATGAATGATGTCCGAGACAACGAGGACTACCTCGCCCATACTCATCTCATAACGTTCACCACAAGAATTGGCTCGAGGAGTATATTGCTAACAAGAAGAACGACGGCACGGCGTACAACAGCTTGCTTCGACTCTGCCAACGGTTTACCAAGCGCTATCGCTTCTCGCAACGAGTGCCACGTGCGACCAAGCTTCCACAAGTTGTTCTAGCAGAGACGAAAGCTACATTTGCAAAGGAGTTTTGGGAAAAGTTCAATGATACCACGCCTTCAGACATCACCAACGTTGACGAAGCATCTGTATACTATGACATGCCACATACGAAGGCTTTGGCGAAGGTCGGCGGTCATCTAAAGTGAATACCGAGCAAAAACACTCCGACCGCGTAACTGCTGTGCTGTCAATACGATCCAATGGGGACAAGCTGCCTATAATGTTTATTGCCAAGGGAGCTCCTGGTGGACCAATCGAGTGCGACGAGGTACCTACTTATCCAGCTGGTCATATGTACGTTGTACAGGAGAAGGCATGGATGGACACGCGTCTGTGGGAGATGTACTTGACTGATCTGCTGAAGTACCTGATCGAAGGCCCCTCTGTTATTGTAGCCGACAACTTGGATTATCCTATCTCCCAAGCCTCGCACGACAATGTGTCATCTGAACAATTCAGTGTACTTGAGCCCCTTCCAAAGAGCTCCACCAGTGTCTGCCAACCTTTGGATGTGGGTGTGATGGGGCCTCTGAAGAGCAAGTTGCGCTCGAAGTGGCTCTAAGTAGTACCTGTCACGACAGTAGCAGAAGAGCGCCTGGCCATGATCAAGCGCACGATTGCAGCGTGGGAAGAGATGCCAACTTCACTGATCCACCGTTCATTTGAGAAGGCAATCCCTGGTGCCCCCAATGCCCCTTAACTTGTACAGTATTTCGTTTCACAGTAATTACTCGTCACAGTAATTGAATTTCGTCGTGTAATAGCTTCATCTCGTCGTTGTCGAAAATGTGTTTACTTTGTCCAATCAAACAATAGTAGCAAATTTGGCGAACAATTTAATCACTATCAAAAACCATCACCAATTAGGCATCCGGGGGACCTTCATTCGTATCTCACAAGCCAGATTGCCTTTTTTTGAAATTTTGTATGCTTCTTGAGCTCACTGGCATAAAAAAATCATTCATTGAAAGTATTACTTGAGAAACGATAACCTGCAAGATATGTTACACGAAACATCTCTGTCAATGCAATTTCCACAACGACAAATAATATCCTCTATA